GCTTTAAAGTGCACATGAGCATGATGTGTACACTGGACCTCCATTTAAAGTCCTTATTCAAGCAGACTTGTTTCTACCAACTGATCCCTGCCTGACTGGTACTGGTAATGGGTTTTTATATTGCGCCTTTCCCTTGCGGTTATGATGCGCCTGAACAAGGAGTGGCTTGAACCAGAGATGATTTTAAGGCTGTAGTTAGCAGCAGCCCTGCCTTACCACTTGGCAACTCAACTCGCCAAGGATGGAGCACAGGTGAGCAAATTTTAAGAACAGGTATATGTGTTTGTGGGACAACATGTGTATTTGTGGAATAAGCACATATTCCTGACCATGTTCTCATTGGTCAATTCATAAGTATGATTGATACTGCAGACAGTTCCTTTGGATAAGGATGTAACACTGTACCTTTGAAATATTAAAGAAAAAAAGACACCAACATTATTTAAAACTACTGTATATATAAATAACCAATTTTCTTACCAGACTCAGTGATTTTAGTGCCATCAAGTTTAATGAGTAAGTTCTTTACCTCATCTTCATTATCAATTTGATAGTTCATTCCTTTGCTGCCTCCGCTTTTATTGCAGAAGTAGATAAGACTGAAAAAACAGAGATAATACAAATTAAAGACCATGTAACCAACATTACACTGATTTGACACATTTATATCAATCTCAGTATATAAAATAACAGATGCAATATTTTCCATAAATACATCATTTTTATAGTTGTAGGACTGTTTAATCGTTAATAAACCAAGCACAATGTATGTTAGCTTACTGCAAGCTTTTGTGGATGTTATCAACATGATTTTGTCAGGCTATGTGAGCTAGCATCACTTGTTTTGGGCATTGAGTAAACAAAACCCTCTGGTGCCACCTCTATCTCTGTCAGGATTAGGCCCCAGTCTTTCCGGCTGAAGGAGTTGGACAAAAATGTGGGAAAGATTGTATGCCCCGGAACCAATCCTGACAGGAATAGAGCTGGCACCAGAGGGCATTGTATACACAATGCCAAAACAACTGATGCTAGCTCACATAGCTTGACAAAGTCAACAAGTTAACATCAACGAAAGCTCGCAGTACGTTAACATCCATTGTGCACGGTTTATACGATCAAACAGTCCTACAACAATAATAAGCAATCCAGATGAAACTATTCGAATATCATTTTTATAATTTCAATCTAAGTTACGCTTAAAGATATGAATTTGTTAGTCTGTTGAGTATGCTAAATTATTTATTAGCTTTCAACAAAAAAATTAAATAACGTATTTTTGTTATCAATTACAGATATGTTAAACATTTCCTATATTCTTTTGCTTTCATCTTTTTTAACATACAATGATAGTCACTAGTGAAATATATTTATCCACCAAAACAAAAATGTATCTATATATATATATATCACACCTTTTCCAGTTTTTATCTTTGCTTAGCACTACAGGGTTTCCGATAACAATTAATAATGCCTTTGCACGAGTGATCGCAACATTGAATCTCTGTTTAAGACAAAATGTAAACAATTAAAAAATAATATGCATCATAATTAATGTTATTAATTCTTTACATCTGTAAATCTTAAGTCTTCTTGGTGTCAATTATCATAACAATAATATCATATTGACATAAATATGTTAATTCACATTTTATAAATAAAGTTTTGTTCTAATCATGGAAATTGGGTAAGTGTGAAGTTACTTTTGTATATTTTAGCATGGGACATCGCAGGTTAAGTCCCTCAATATTCAATTATAATCAACTCTGTGCCCTCAACATCAACTTTTGTAATGACGCAATCAGCGACGCATTCAGAGATATCCAAAAGGGGGGCAAAAGCGGGGCCGATTGAGAGACAACATTGTTTTCTAGATCCCCCCACCCCGAAAATGACCTCTGAGGCGTTTTGGGAGATCAATGATTTCTTTTTCTTTCTTTCTTGTTTTTTCCTTTTTTTTACTTTCCAAGAGGGGAGAACAGAGCTGGCTAATCCCCCCTCCGTAATTACCTTTCTGATGTACCTGGTCAAAGTTCAAAGTACAAATACAATGACAAGATTGATGTTGGTAAGTGATTCTTTGAAATGACTGGAGTCACATGCAATGGTAGTGGGCTGGACTGTTAATGGTTTAGTTTGACAGAAAAAACCTGATAGAAGCTACAGACTTGCCTTTGGATTGTCTAGAAAACCAAGTTTGAAATCCTTGTCCATTTGCAAATAGTGTTCATTATTACTACGTACGGTTGATATTATAATGACTAGTCTCTCCTGTCCCTGGAATTCTTCGACTGAGCCAACTTTGATTTTTTCGTAGTTGCGCTTAAGGACTTGCTGAATCTTTTGAACCTGATTGTTAAAAAAATGCAAGATACTGCATATAAAACACCACTTTTGTTACACACACAAAGGCGAGTCGAGTGGCCGAGCGGTAAGGCGGGGCGCCGCTAACTATAGCCTTAACATAGGTGCTGGTTTGAGCCTGTCCTCGTCTAGGATTTGGTTGGTAGAACCAAGTCTTCTCGAATAAGAATTTAAAATGGAGGTCCAATGTACACATCTGGCTGCTGCACACCTTAAAGAACCCATTGATTCTTTCGGAAGAGTAGGGGGTTACCCTGATGATATGGTTCATTTCAGCCCCTGTCGTTGTGGAATGATGTGTAAAAGGCACTTAGTAGTTACATGCATGTACCTACTAAGTGCCTTTTACGGCGACTAGCAAGTCAGAGACCATGCCCATACAAATTCAGTTAATGACACTGCGAGTCATGGGTTATTCTACCTTTCTCCTACCTTTACTATTATTTATCTGGCTCTAACTGGCCATTGAACAGAATTAGTGATTTTAATTAAATTAGCTTTCCGCATGAATAAATGAGATGATCTAAATATAAGTTTATATGAATATAGCTATTTTCTCATTGTTTTTCTTACTTTCCCTCCATAATCCGTCCCGCCTTGGGGCTACAAAATGCTGGTTTGCACTAACTTGGCAGCCTATTTTCATGCATTTTTTGTTTTCTGTTTTTTTTTTTAAAGTAACTGCCAATCAAAAAGGAGTAGTAGTACTGAAAAGGAAAAAATGAGTTTGAATCCTGATAGGTATATACTGTGTGTTTCCCAATGCAAAACATAAATCTCAATAGTTAGTACCTGCTTACGATAGGGTGAGATGATGCCAATATCTGACTGTTGCAACTTCTTTCCCGAATACTTTCCCTCCATCAGCTGCTTAATATATGTAAGAACAGCATCACATTCTTTGGTGTTGAAAAATGATGGACTGGTTCCTTCTTTTTCATCTTTCCCTTCAACACCATGGAAGATTAATGGAAAATTCTGCAAAAAATACAATAACAAAGAGTTTACATTTTTATTACTGTACACAGTATCTGTTAGTATTTGTCTTTAGTGATGAATATTTTTTATTACATATTTTTATATTTTGTTATTAGATAATAGTGATTTTTATTCCTTTTGAGCATTTACAAAGCACTCTAAACATAGGTGGTCTCACAGTGCTACTACAAATATGATTTCTATTTTATACTATTTTAATTGTATTTCAATTTTAAATAAAAATTTATCTTTAATTTATAACCCTAATTGTCATCTTTTGTAAATGTCACACCCCCTCCTCCTCTGTCACATTTGTGGCCCTGGAACATGGGAAAGAGCAGTTGCTGGGGCACAACTGTGGATTATGGAAGGTGGCTATGGGTCTATTGATAAATACCTTAGAAGCCACAGTGTCTGTCCTCCCCTCTCAATGCTATTGGAAACAAGCCTGATATCTTCTTACCTTTTTTGGTAGTTCTTCCCATCGACACATCGTCTCTCTCATGAATATGTCAGCTTTGGCCTCTAGTTCGTTATCGTAGAACAGTTCATTTGGCAACTTCAAGATTTCAGGATGGGATCTATAATTCTGCAGCAGCTTTGTCATCACCTTCGGATTGTAATGCGGTTCCTCCTCTTTACGTGCATAGAGTGGGTTTTCAGTCATTAACCTCTCAAGGAATGACGTAGCTGAAATTAATAATAAACAGACCATTTTTGTTTTACCACAATTCCAATAATTAATGTGTTTTTGATATGCCCTTGTTATTAACTTATTTTAAAAATGATTTTTAATTAATTTTTTCTTTACCATTTTTATGTTTGTTTTTAGCTAGCTTAATTAGGTTTTATGTACTGTACTGTGCTTTTTAATCCATTGTTACTTGCCTTTTAACATCTTGCTTGTTTTATTTATGTAATGTTTTGTGGATGTTGAATTTTGTCTTGTACAGTTTATTAATTTTCAACTTTTTTAGTGATTGTAATACATTCATATACAGCCTTTGGTATTTTTTATGAATAAAGACCTTGAATATACCTGTTTGTTTTGGAGGAGTGAAGGGCCCCTCCCATATGCCATTCACAGTCTGACCCTTAAATATCTGGCCTTTGTGGTCAGAGATCTGGTTTTGACTTAAATTTATTTTTACCTTCAACATTCACTGACAAAATAAATATGTTGTTTATTTTTTATCCAATTAAAACATACCTAAGCCAAACTTGATGGCCATTGGTGACCTCAGTACTGGTCCCAGTTGTTTTGGATCTCCGGCAAGTACAAGCTGACCTCCTTTAAAATTGTATGGGCTCAGCAGGCTGTAGACAGCTATGATGGCTTCTGGCTCCTCAGCATGTCCAGCTTCATCAATGAAAACATGAGTAAAGTGGTTGAGTGGGAAGTTGGCACTCGCAAGTCTGATAGTAAAAAATATATTTTAATTGTCTTTTAAATAATAAAAATAACAAGAAAATCTGAGATTACAAACCCTCACCGATCTGTTCCGCAATATCTATGTACTAAAAAAATAATGGTCTGCAGTCAATCCGTTCGAGTCAACTCGGCTTAGCCAAACTCGGCCTAAGCATCATACTGTAGGCCTTGTGTGGCAAGCCCATCAATCGGACGATTTTGCATGTCCGATTTTGCAGAGCGTTTCCAATCCTCCGGCCAGAATTTGGCACACCCTACTCTGGCCTGCAGTCGATCCGCTCGAGTCAGCTGGGACTAGCCAAAAGAGGTTGAGTATGATCCACTCCAGTTGGTTCTGTTTATTGCAGCCAGAAATATATAAATAAAATTTGCATCTTATTTCCAATCAGCACCAAATTCATTCAAGGTGGACCAAGACACTGTACATGTAACGCTAGTCAATGCATGAAAATTTGAAGTAAATCATTCCAGCATTTTTTGAGTTATGAGCCTGGAAAACACACAGAGTACATACACACAGACACTTGCAATACCCTTCAATGATTTTTGTTTGAGTAATTTTTGTAGGTTAATGATAAACAATTAACTGACCTTCCAGCCGTAACTAGTGTAGTCACCACTATTCTATACTTTTGAATCACTTCTTTAGAAGGAAATTCATTTTCACAAGTCAGGGAGTTATAATTGCAACATTTAGCCTCCTGAAAATCAGTAAAAATATTAGAAGAATTATTAGTATTTTATTCATTCCCCATATATCCAAACCAAGATGTAATAATTACACTATATAATAATTTAAAAAAAAAGATAATCTGAGATGACAAACCCTTGCCCTGTTGCGCCTTGTCTATGTATATAGTCGATTCGCTCATCTGCCAAACAAGGCCTAACATCATAGGCCTTGTGTGGCAAGCCCATCAATCGGGCGAGTTTGCACGCTGTCCGGACCGCTTCCAGTTCGCCACCCAGAAAATGACACATGGTCAGTCCACTTGAGTAGGTTTGGCTTAGCCAATCGCTCAAGTTGTTGCGGCCGCAAAATAAATAAATAACATTCTAAAACTGTATCTTACTTTAAAATTAGATAAGGTATAGGAAAATTGAACTAAACATCATAAATAATGTTATGATTGGCTGATAATGAGATTCAGTTTTTAGAACATCATTCAATACTGTAATTGGGGCAGAACTTTTGTTGGAAGAGTGAAAAAAAGCTGTATTATATGAAAAAAGAAGAAAAAAATAGTACACACACAAAAATCTTGAAGGATTGCATGGTGAATATTATACAAATAATGAATGTTATGAGTACAATGGGAAGAATATTTTCATGAATTGAAAGACTGACTGTTCATTTGATGAGGTGGAGCCGAGTCTAATGGAACAGTCAATCTTTCAACAAAAGAAAAGTGTGTTATAAACATTAATAATTAATTATAAGCTTTCGGTACACCATGTAGCATATACTACAAATATATATTGATGGTATTTGTTTCCGAGAAGAACCGTAGAATTGTAATGTCCCAATGTTTCACACACCTTAAGAGTTTCATTCACTGTGCCCCAACCCCGAGTTTTTGCATTCATACGATAAATGGCTGACTTGGAAATTGCACTGTTTTTCAACAGTCTCACTGCTATCAGGTCTGCAGCACTATTGGAAGGTGCACAAGCTAAGATCATGCTTCCTTCAATGTGCTTGTTAACCTAAAAAAGACAAAAAATGATACATTACTTTTTATCATAGTTGTGTTAATTTTGGCTTAAAATTCTTCTACTCTACTTGTTATCAATCAAATAAGTTATATAGCTCAAAAGACCTGACATGAGACAGTACACACCTGTTTGATGGCTTCTACAATGGTAACTGTTTTTCCTGTACCTGGCGGGCCAAACACAAGGTATGGGGCAGGCCTTGATGATCCTTCAGTAATGTGTCTAACTGCTGCACTTTGTTGATCATTTTTTCCAATATTACTATCAAAAAACCTTGATAATAAATTAAACAAAATAACAGTTAATTTCATTGGAAATTTAAATGTTATTGAGTCATTCTATGCCAAATAAATTTTGTTGACAATTTAATCACACTTTCTTTGTAATGGAAAATCCCAAAGCATTCTGCAAATATAGCTCATAGTTGACAATACAATACAAGGTCCAGATATATATATAAAGGAAAAAACACTTTTGCCCAGGTAGTCTGAAAGCATGGGTAGTAGCCAGAGTAAAAAGTTGATGCTTGTTTAGATATGAAATTGTTGAATTTTGGGAAAAGTCAAATATCACTGTGGAGATTCACAAGTTCAAAAAAGGGGGCGTGTCACCCACCTACAGATGCCTTTGGAATATTCCTTTGAAGCTTTGGGATTTTCCATGCCAGGGCTCCTAATTTCATTTGTGGAACTCGGCATACAGGGCTTTATGAAGTAAAGCTCTTGGATTAAAAGTTTACTAAGGAATGAAATTCACTTACGTTATTGCAGGATTGCAAAGTGGACGTAAGAAAGTTGTTTCCTTGGGGAAAAGGAAATCTCTGAGCAAAATCGGAATGCTCACTGCTCGATGTTGAAGCCTTAAAGGTAGCCGGTTGAATGTAAAGTGTATTTCAAACTTTGAATTATCTATATAACCTTTTACTAGGCTAAAAATGAAAAAAGTAGAAAAAAATCTTTTTCAGTGACAGGGATAAGGTACAATCAAATCAAGTTCAAATATCAGTGATTTGCTCATATATGAGTGTACAATATCACATTATCATGTCATATCATTATCATAAAATGTCACAGAGCACAATGTATAACTTTATTTAAAGCTAGGCTCTGGAGGCAATACCATGTTTGATATATTGTACAACTACTGTAATTGCTCATCTCTCCTCAGCATTCAATGTCTTCTGCATCTAGTCTACAATTACTTCATCTTCTATGTCTACCTAAGCATTTCAATACTATTTAATATGAATAGGATGGATAGTAATAATAAAAACTCATATCTAGAAATCATCCTAATCCTATGCATTGTGATGGCCTGTTGCTAAACTTGGACTGCACGACTCTGATTGAAAGTTTCTGCATCACAAATTTTTAATGTAACTGAGTACACTACAACAGTTCAGTTTATTTTAGAATGATTAAACTTCACATTTAAAGACCAAATTACCTTGAGTCAAAACCTAGAACAAGTTCTTCCATTTCCACACGATGGACATAGCCCTTGTAAAATTTGCCTTTGTAAAAACTGTCCTTCGGTACCGCAAACAAGTGATCCCCTCTCAGTACTGAGGGACGATTCTCAGCCAACCCAGGAACCTGAAAAATAAAAATATCCTTGACAAAGTTAATAGAAATTTGTGTTATCACCAAAACAAATTATCAAACTTTAAAATGTTATTCATTTTTCACTTGAAGAGGAATAACAAGCTGCAATCTGTCAGGCCACATTTAATTTGCTGCAAAGAGCTGATATGTAAACATGCCCATACTGTCAGTTTGCAGGGGGATTGCATCTGGAACCAAGACAGGAAAGATAAAAAGCAGTAGGTGCTTTATATACAGTGTGGATGCCCACTAGGCACACACAGCGGCAAAGCCCAGATCCTCAAAAATCCTCTGAGTCCGCCTGACCCTTGCCAGCCAGCAAAAACCAAACATGAGGTAAAACAAAGACTCTGGTCCTCGATCCTGCAATTTATTATGTTTAGAAATACAAGGAATTTGAGGGTGCAGCAATCATTTTAGGGTATTGTCTCAAAGACAGGTAAAGTTGCAGACAATTTGCATGGGGCTGCCTTCAATGTGGGGCCAGTTGTATGGGAAATCAGACGATTCTATTTTTGTTGTAGGGGGTGTTCTTTAAGGAACAGTGGTAATTATCATAGGTTTATCCAGATATACATAATTTTCTATAATAACAAAACATTTAAAAAAATGAAATTTATAATATGAAAATAATTGTTCTGACCGACTGACCTTTAGTCTGAGTAACCTTTTATCTCTATCCCGGGTCATCGTTGCATCCTTCATCTTGTACTTCCCAATATCCACATCCATCTGAAGTTCTTCAATATGTAATAATGTGGAGAACTTATCTGCATAATTTTCGTATGTCAGTTTCTCTTTCAACTTTTCTCTAAAATAATCATTTCATTTTCATCTGATTTACTTCAGAGCATCAACAATGACAATCATAAAAATAATACATAAGAATTGTAATGTTCACATCTCTATTAAAAATACTTGAGGGAAACTCCGACAATCAAGACTTACGTTTAAAAAAATGACATTGCATTTTGAAGGTTTAGGACTCAAGTTATTTAATCTACTGCACAACTTACTTCAACCATTAAGTAACAGGAGCATGAGATCTGACATATTTCTACCTCCTACAGCACAACAGGAAAATGGTTCAATTGGTTCTAGTACTGGTACTCCAATACTGATAGAGATATGCAATCGGACACAACTCCTGCTCAGGCTGCAGGAAAATTGCAGATGATGGGAACAATTGACAATCTCAACTCAAGTTCTATCACCTTATTGATAACTACAAACTGATGAACCCGATTAAAGGCTTTCATGAAATAAATTACACACAGATTGACATAAGAACCATTTCTCTGAACATCTTTAAGTGTTAAAATATCAATAACATGCATGATAAGAAATTGTAGAGCTTTCTTTTAAGCTTTGTCTACAAAAACTGTTATGTGTCCATATATAGTCATGACGTGCCTATCTCAACCCAAGTTTAATCAGCTTATTTTATAACTATATACCAATAAAAGGCTTCCATGAAACACAGGTTGACATACAAACCATTATTCCCAGTATTATATTTTAACGCTTATACTAATAAATTGTAGAACATTGATTTAAGCTCTGTTCACTATCAAATTTTCTTTGTCAAAAAACTGCCTATATATGGTCATTCATGACCATATTTAGGCATGTCACATGTTTTTGTCAAATCAAATTTGAGTGTGGACAGGCTATACTTGAGCTTTGTATAAAGACAAAACAGTACATACCTAACATCATCAGTGTCTCCGTTATTCACCTTATATCTCAAGCTGTTAGGAACGTTGTATGATGTTAGTTTGATCATAACCAGACTATCGGATGAAGCACTTGCGGAAGAAAGAAAAAGTGTCAGTTAAGACCCCTTTAACACAGACAAAGTAAAGAGTATGTGAGTCCTTTTGTATCTGTGTGAAAGGGATCAAACACATTAACCTAGATTAAATTTACACTAGCAGAACCATAAGAATCAGACCCACTAGATTAGTGGATTATGATCTGGGTGAAAGGGTCCAAGCAAACTAAACTAGGATGCAGTAATGCAAAACCAATTTGACCAATGCCATATGAGCCATGTGGTAAATGTGAGGTGAATACCAATAAAGCCAACATTAATAACCACAAGTATTCGTTCACACAATACAATGAATTTTTATGCTCAACAGCCATATTCGAATGATGTTTTGTTGAAAAGGATATTTCATTGAGTATTATCTTCATTCGACTGGTTCGCAAAATAGACTTAATTGACAACGGAAATTAAAGTAAACCAGAGTGTGATAATTTGTAATAAGTTATCCATGTGACCAAAACAAACATGGCTGACTGGGTCAGTTTAGCAACAACATTTGTGTTTATATAATTTAGCTTAAATTTCAGAAAATAGTAATTATAATATCTACCTAAAATCTAAAAATAATTGAAGGCAAGTAGAATTCAAAAACTGTATGTAAATCTATTTTTCAAGCAACCTTGATTATGCTAGCGTGTATCACATCTACACAGGCATTTTGTTTTATTGAGTCAGTTTTCTATTCGTCTAGTTGTCTTCGTTAAGCAGGTTTTTACCACTGCGCAAGTAGGTGTGGTTTAACGAAGAATCACTAGTCAAATACAGCCAAATTTTAGAGTCATTGAAGAAGTTCACTGAGTGAAAAGAAAGCATGTGTGAGAAGTCATTTTTTTTTTTACCTCCTCTGACCATCTTTCAAAAATTCCTTGTTCCACTAAACAACTCTCAAGCTAAATTTACATAAAAACTATCAAATACTTACGAAGATAATGACATGCCTTCTATAACATGTGAGGGAATACTGCGCTTAGTTGCTCTTGGTGGTTTAACATAGGGAGATGTTGGTTGCAGTTCTTTTGTCAGGTCAGACTCCACTTCCACAACAATGTTCCGAAGAATTTGAAAAAACTTTCAAGAAAGAATACCAAATTTTAATATTTGGAATGTACAATAATTTCTTTTTTAGCATTGGGTTTTATGTTTTCTTTTTTTCGATGTATGTTTGTGTCAAACTACAGGCCCGTATCCAGCTTTTTGAATGGGGGGGTGCGCAGCGAGCAACCAGGCTGGGGGACAGGGGGCCACCCAGGGCCCCCGGTCGGGGTCCAGAGGCCGAAGGCCCCGGAAAAATTTGCTTTCTTACGTCCTATTAGACTAATTTGAAGGCATTTTATCATGTTAATCTCTATATGTCCGTCCGTGAACACAGCGATAGGGCCTATCAAAAAATTACCAGTGGAGGACATGGAGAAACAAGCAAATTGTTTCCCAAATGAAAAATACTACTGTATAAATTCGTAACCATTACAAATAAAAATTCAAAATCAATTCTGCTTTTAAATGAATAATAGCAAAGTTTGACATAAAGAGTGGATTAAAAGCGACTGTAAATGAGCTGATTCAAACAACTAGAAGCATTTGAAACAAATTAATCAACATTTTTATTCTTGGCATCGACAGAAAACATATACAGAGGTATAAGCATAATTATACTGTATGTATACGCTATCTATCCATTGAACCTGTGACGAGGTATACTGTATAAAAGGATCATCATGATATGAGTAACGTTGTACGTTTTAATAGCAACATCACTTACATTTTTTTATAAGAGCACATTTTATAAGAAGAATGAGGCTGTCGAAATTGTGGAAAAATTAAGAACAAAATAAGAATAAATTAAGGCTAAGTTAAAATGCCACAAGTGAGGTTTTTACTTTTTAGTAGTAGTAGAATAACCAACAAACGTCGAGTATACTCGTCTCAGGGTATTTCTGAGAGCGTTAAGAACGATTATACTTGTCTAAACCGGGGTGTCATTCTAGCATTTTGACTTCATTGCTATACACTGACATACTGGCTGATGGTTAGGGGAAGATATACCTAGACGATAACGTGCATATAACGTGTGAATGTTTGTTGTGTTATGTTGCTGGCAGTACAAAATATTGCGCGTGTGGAGTCAGCACGTGTGGAGTCAGTGCGCTAGTATTCTTATTGTAACTCATTTGTACATTCATACAATCTTAATACTGTACTGTTATGTGATTCATTTTATGATTCTGGGAACAAGGTCACATTTTTTTTGGTTATAATTAGTGGACGTTTTTCGATTTGGGGGGGTGCGTACGCACCCAACGCAACGCCCTTCCCCCCCAGATACAGGCCTGAACTATCATACGTTTTTTTGCCCTACCTGACGTGTTATCGTACTGAATACAAAGTATGTTCCAAAATACTTGTGAAAAAAAGATGTGCAAATGGCTAGTGTTAATTGCAATTACCAAGTAGTATTGGGTATTGCAACTCTTGTTTAACACTAGTCACTAAGCATAAGCTAGGTCTAGTGATTATGACACCAGTTATCTGGAGGTTATGGGTTCAATTCTCAGCCAAATGACTTGGTAATTTGTTTCGCAAGTATTTAGTATGATAACACATCAGAAGGCAAACCATCACTCCTAGGGGTTTGATGTTGTTCTAAATTTTGGTGAAAACCAACAACACAATAGTCAGTGTATTTTATGGTGTCACAGATGTGACAAAAGTTATAGTTTGATATGTTATTAAAGTAGTCATAATCAAAATGAAATATGAATAATTTTTTTAAAATGACAAAACTTACGGATTTGTCTGGAAGCGCAAAAGCAAGCGCCACCACATTTCTGTAATTGTTGACGAACTGTGGATTACACTTTATTGAAAATGTAAATGTGTCTTCTAAAAAAACAAAAAACAAATGTATTAAATATTATCATGAAACTTTAAAATGGTTCATCCATGCTCATCCCAACTTTTTGGTTTGCAACTAAAAATTAAAACAAATAAGTGAATTACATTTTGAAATACCAATAAATTTAAGAATATTATCAATAAAAACAGTTTAATTTGGTTTTAATCAGCTCTCAATAATTCAAATTCAATTAATGTTTCTGTCCCTTTCAAAATAATCAAATATTATGCATGCCTTGTCCAAGAATAAAAGAAAGTGTTGCGAATGCTAAATGATACCAAACTGCTCTCACAATCTCCTAATAAAATGCACTGGATGTATACAGAAGTGTAATAACAGGTTGTGCAACATAAATTTTGTTAACATTTTTTACCCTCATGGTTACCATAATTACATAATTATCTGATAATAACACTGGAATTATTTCAACGTCACCTAAAGATTTATGGAAAACTGATGAAAAAAATTGTGAAGAAAAAAACATGAACAAATTTATGCAGGTATAACTCAGTATGATGAGAAATGACTTACCTGGTGGAATATTAACATCCTTTATTTCATTCATTTCAAATGAAGAAGCACCCATCAATAACACACCAAGTAACAATTTAACTGAATTTTCACTGCTGGAGGAAGAATGTAAATAAATTAGTCATCTTGGAAGCAGGCGTGGGAGCTGGCTGAGCCCTCTCGCAACTTCCGGGGGACTTGGGTCCCCTTAAAATAACTTAGTTATTTAATTTATGACAATGACTAGTGTTACACTGTCAAGTCAAACAATTCCTAATTCTGATTGAATATTATTGTCCTAATCCAAACCAAACACACAAGGGAGCTTACAACTGCACACCAACAATAGCACCTAGAATGTCATGACATCACATAAAGTCATCTGCGCATATGAGAACATTGAGTAATCCAATCGGAGACTGGTATAATTACAGCAAATGCTTAATTTACACAGTCCATTCGAATCATCATCAAATATAATTTTAGCATACATTTTTTGCAAATGCAGCTACAGTACATACTGTATAGGAACCATTTCCTTGTTTTGCCAAACAGGGAAACAAAATAGAATTGAACAAAATGGACTCTCAGCGACAAATCTACTGAAATACAGAACACTATATCTATAGTATTTATGTTTATGAACTTTCCAAATCCTACTATTCATTGCATATTACATGAATTATTGAGAAAAAACATGTCCAAATATGGGAAAATCCAAGGGTGTATAGAGCTTATAGAGTATCCAAACAGTAATTAAAAAAAAGCCTTGGATTGAATCCTGATGAGAACATACATTTTTCTCAAAATTTAATATCTATATCATATACATATTTGCACCATGATTGTTTTAAATGCCACCATACTATTTATTAGACAATTATATGCTATAAATATGCCTATTGGTTTTTTTGTATTCTATCTTTTTAGGGTGTGGGCCTATACCTGTGTCATTTAATTGTAATTACTCACTTTTATATAAGACAATTATGCTATAAATATGCCTATTGGTTTTTTGTATTCTATCTTTTTAGGGTGTGGGCCCATACCTGTGTCATTTAATTGTAATTACTCACTTTTATATAAGCTTACCTCTCATTTTCAATAGTTATATCAATTGTTACAGGTTGGTCGATGGTTACATCTTCAACCAAAATGCCATTGTCAACATCATGATTAGATATCACTTTTATGCCATGTTTATCTTCATGCAAGATTTGCCTGAAAATCATCAAAAGGGAGTGCAATTTAGTAAAAATTAATATTAAAGGATTTATAATAAGAATAGAACAAAATTATTTAGAAAATATAATAATTAATAATAATAATAAATAATTTATAAATGCATGCAACGGCAGTCATGTATCAGTGAATTAATTCTGTGTCCTTATTCTACACTCTCAATTGCAAACCTCCCTCTTTTTAAAGAATTGTGCCTTTTTAAAGAAAAGTGCCTTCCCAGCTAACAATATTACATTAAGAACATTATAATAACATTATAGTTTGGTGATAAAAAAAAAATCATTTTGCAGAACCATATGTACATACTTATAACCTAATTTTACAACGTTGCAACATTTGAACGTTCTGAAAACATAATGTGAACATATTTTGTGACATACCAAACGACAACGTTCGCGAATGTTATAAGAACGTCTTGTGTTTGCTGGCTTATACACAGACAAAAGGGTAAATCCTTATTGGCAGATTCAGAACTTGGAAACTCTTGCAACAAAGATTAATCCTCCACTGCTGCAAATACTCATAAAACAACTGTTAGAGCTACACAAACTGTTTTTTAAAATTTTTTTATTCACTATTATGGAGCATATAGGGCCAGTCCAGAGGAAACATATAAATAAGTCAGTCTGTAATTACATGTTATCCAAGATAGTTGAATAGAGTTATAATCATTTACAGTGACAAAAAAAAAAAAAAGGCATAAATTTGCACAATACCTTTTGCTTCTCATGAAGTGGAAAATCACTTGACAGCGATGATTCTGCCCTGCCAAATGGGAATTAAACATGCCTGGATTACAAAGCACATCACAATAGGCACAGAATAGTGCATTTGGATTATTATTCTTCTCCCTCATCTCTATGCGATTCTTTTCTCGTTCTTTGACATATTGATCAACAGCCAAATGTTTGAATGGGACAGAAATTTTAATCAATGTGTTGTTCTTTTTGTCAATCTTGATCTTCCTTAACCGTTTCAGATCCTTGATGAGTTTCTCAAATCGGATTGCTATAAAAGTGAATAAGAAAAACAATATTATTTGTTAAAAGTAGCACAAAAAAAAAAAAAAAATAAGAGAAGAGATTGGTTTCATCAAGCAAATGAATCCCTCGAAAAAAAATTGGTCGAACATGGACCAACTGAATATCTGTAAAACAAGAAAATTTAACATTAAATAAAACAACATACATGGTCCATTATCTCCAAAGCCAGATGCAATTGAAAACTCATTATCATAGATTGTATGCAACTCTTCCAGGTTCCTGCGATCAGGGGTTTCACCTTTGTCCTGGAGGAAGCTAGTGAAGCAGTTCCAAATACTATTCAACTTCATAACTTTCCGACTAGGTTGCTTTTTCAGAGCCATACTTGGCTCTTCATTCTGACTAGATTGCTCTTCATTCTGACTGGATTTCTTTCTCCGTCTAGTTCGCCTTTTCCGTGCCATAGTTGGTTCTTGAAAGTATCTAAAATTAAAAATCAGAAAAAAAAAAATTCTCGCTAATTAACAGAAAGCCTAGGGCCTATGTGCCTGTTAAGAAATGCAAACGCAATACAAAATATAGGAGGGAATTATCAGTGTACTGCCCAAATTACTACCAGGAGTGCATGGCCCAAGGTTAAAAAATTGAATTTATAAGATATGATTAATGTAATGTATTTTAAATAATATTACATAAATCATGATATGAGCTAAACTCTAAACCGTCTTGTGTCTTGCATAAAATAATACATAAATTTTGAACGTTAAAAAAGAGTGTGCTGTCTATGCAGACCCCTGACTAACTGGACCAAATTGAGGCTTCGTAGAGAATCAAAATCAATAAAAAATGTTGATATATTGCAAAAAAGTGGGAAAAGAGTGATGATGCCCCTTCCCCCTAGTTCTTAAATATTTACATTTCTCACTTACCATTCCCAAATTTATCGTCGAACACCCATTTTGTGTCTTAAAAAAATCAGTTGTATCAAAAATTGTTTTTCCTCCAGGGCATGCTTTAATAATTTCATAACTGCATCACTGAGTGCCTATTAATTTACGATTTTATCTTGATATATACTTTACAGTAGTTTTTACCTAATCTGCTCTTCATTCATATGATTAACACTGAGAATAAACAAATCAGTAGTGATGTTGTTAGTCTATGAGTGAGATACTTACCTGGTAAACCGATAAATGCCTAAGTTTCCTTTGAAACTTACCTCTCGTGCATAAAAGAAAAATAATGGACCCGCCCTATGTCGCCTATATACGCCCTGCGTGAAAGAACAATATCCTCGTTGACTTCTCGCCTTTGTCTTGTTTATCCAGGTATGTATTCACGAAATAGACAAGAAATATTCATCTTTAATAAATTGTATGTCTCTATTATGTCAATGTACGCCATGATTTCATTGTTGTATCTGTTTATATTTATCTGTGAGACATGTGGAACCAACTACATCAGATTCTATTATATATTCCTAGCTCAATGTGTGAGCGTTGCAGTCAGTTGTAAGAGAGAAGGTTCCTGAGGGTTATCTGCACATATACATATACGGTATACTGCAAGGTCTACATGGTCTAATGGTATGACATTTGCCTTGATAGTGAGGGGTTGCAGGTTCAAATCACACCAGTGACACCTTTTTCATGCAACTGAAACTTTTAATGCTATGCTTGATACGATTATAACATTCCTATTAGAGCACTGTTATTATTATTATTTATCATAAAATGTGACATTTACATTTACATGTGATTCATCGAAATGAAGGGTGCACGTAGACAAGCAATAATAACATAGGCGGTTGACGTTTTTCCAGGATATATAAAAATTTATTAAATAACGAATATTTCGGGAGTGCCATGCTCTCTTTTTCAGCGTAATGCCTACTGAATTAAAAAAAACACCGGATTGAACAATTCATTAGTTCAAGTCTATGAACAAATAGAAATCTAATGATAAACAACCAATAAACAAAAAGATCGCCTATTGTGCCGATCTTTTTGTTTTCCAAATAGTGTGCTACATTCTTTAATGTGCACACGGACTATAATGCACACTGGACCAACGGCTTAAACGTCTCATCTGAAAGACTGTGCGCTATTGTAACTTGCATTTCAGCCCTCCAGCTGAAACATAAGGACAAAAGCAATGGGATTTGAACCAAGACCTACCACCATAGTTCAGCACACACACAGTGCAGTGGCGGCTCTAGGATATAATTTATCGGGGGGACTAAGATGTCCGATTGGGGAGGGCTAATTTATGGGTGTAACTATAGCGCGCAGCGTTATCTGAGGGCCGAAGGACAGAGCCAGGGGTGGGTATGGGAGGGGTGTCCCCTTCTCCCAAAACGAGATTAAAAAAAAAAAAAAAATTGGTACTTCCAGATGGCCGGAAATGGTTGGGATGGGAAAACTAGGCCCATTTTTCTTTTTTTGGTCCGACTCCAACAAGCTAAGATGGTGGTCTTAGCCCCCTGTCCCCGCCTGCTCGGCCACTGGCACAGTGGCTACCACCAGTTTTAACCGACTGAGCTAAGCTGCGATCTTGTATGAGAATTTCATTCATATGCTACTACTAGTCTAAAATACAACTCACCAGCAGAACACCTTCTAAAATCCACCACAATAAAAAAATTTACCCAGCTGGAATACAATATTTAGACACAGTTGAATATATTCTAGGCTTGCGATGCTCTTATTCAAACTGGGAATTCCCAGTTTATAATCTATTCTACATAAACTACCAATTAGAAACCTCAGATAATCATGTGAAATGCTAAGTCTAAAGTTCACTTCCCTTTTAAAAATTCTACTTGTTTATATAGTGCTTTTCTTTGTTACAACACGGAGAAAATGTTACAAGCGCTGTTAACCACTCTCCTCTATATGTAAAAATTCCAACTGAAGCTTACTAAAGCATGCATAAATTAAATAATGCAATTAAAATGCAGTGATGCAAGAACTCCCAGTAATGGGTTCATAAATAAATAAAACATGAAATATTGACAAAATAAACAAATAAGATAACCCTTCGAACAGTTTAAATTAACATGATAGGAAACTTACTAATTTTTGTTACTTGTTTTGTTAGCCATCCTCTGTCTTGAGGACATCATGTAGACTAGAAAAAAAATCAAAAAAGAGGCCTAGAAATCAAGTTAGGGGGAGTGGAATGTTAGAAACAGTCAACATAGCCAGATATCCTAATTAACCCGTCCTGGTCACCCTAAGGCCTGTTGACACTTGATTTTTCACTTTGTATGCAAATGGCGGCCATTTTTCAAAATGACTAAAAAACTAAACAGGTTGTAAGGCATGCCTTAACTGTCTGACTGAAGCTCTTACGGAAGGAGGCAGGATATTTCATAATGAGCCACTATGAACCAAAACTTGCTGGGCATATACGCCCGAAAGAGATTTGCAGACGTTTTAATTTAATTCTTTGACAGACTTGTAAACAATGAAGTTCACAAACTGAAATACATTTCAACATGGCCTGCTGGTTACTGTTATTTTTTGGCACGCACTCAAGACAACTTATAGGTGCATGTTATAGAAAGGAAGACAGTGAGTGGATCAGGTGCAATCCATAGACCACGGGTATGTAGCTGAGGCTGAATATCTTCTTATTTATAATTAATGTTCTAACCCTAACCCACTGGAGAAGATTTTCAACCTCAGCTAGGCCTACATACCCACGGACCATGAATTGCATCCGACATATAGTTACTAAAATTCATCAACCTTTTACATTTGCTCACAACTCAGTAATTGGCAGCATAGTTGCCCTTCTTCAACAAGAGGTAAGAGATTTTTGGAGGTGAATTAAAAAAACAAAAAAACAAACAAAATATAATTGTTCCGAGCAAAATTTATTAATACATTTAATGATAAAATTAGAGACAATCCAATTATAGAAATAATCATTCTTGAAAAATAGAACCGATTACTATTATTAACTACAGTATAAGCAATTCACTGGCAAAGTTTTCAAAATATTTAAAAGGTCAACCCAGACTTGTGCAAGTTTATTAGATAGAGAACATTATGAAGTTGTCTATACAATAAACAAACCATATATTATATTATTTAAAAAGTTCAAAATATGAAGCATATACCCATTCAACATATTATTGAAAAGTTTTAAATAGTACAATGAGTAAAATACTTTAAGATGTACTGTCTGTGAGAAAACTTCGGCCCTTCTAAGGCAAAACAACATACTGCACAAAAACATAATAGTAGTTACGTTTTTTTCACCATGGGACGGCCGCCATATGGCAAAAACCTATTAAACAATAATTTTAAAAACCAAATTGTATTGCATGTATAAAAAGATCAATAGGTTATAAACTTTCAGTGAGATCCAGATTATAACAATGGACCTTTCCAGCGTGTCAATCAAAATAAAAACTGACCAATAGGAACAGGTCCAGGACATATGCAAATCTCACAAAATGCATAGGTTATCCCACAATCCCACATGTTTGCCTATGTTTTTACACTGTCGCTAGGACCTTAGCAACAATATCCAAGGGGCGGGGCCATACAAATTGAGTTTACACTGATTTGAAAAGTTAATTATAACCACTTAAAACTGACAGTACATCCTAAATAATTATGAAAAAAAAAGAGAAAGCAATTTATCTTTAGCTGAATAAAAATTGGTGCACAAAAATTGCACTTGTATTATTTACAGCAAATTGCCATTAAAGCAATAAATTTACCAATTGTTTAAAATATTTAAAATTAAATAACCAAACTTAATGTAAACTGACAGACAATGCTTTTTCTAACAATTATTTTCATGGCTCGTTTCAATACATTGAGTCTGGTCTGTGGTTATAGGTATTTTGTATACATACACTGTTTAATAAAAACTCTGCATTTCAATGTGAAGACAGTCAAGAAGGCAGTTCAATGGAGATTTTTATAAAGACATTAGATTTTTGGCAAGCAGGCTGTTTTTTTCGAAGGTACAACTATTTACAAGTACTGTGTATAGATAATGAGATGTATCATTGAAAACTCATATCTAGTTAACAGCAATTGTTAACTCATGCACTTTGACTGGCTAACAATGACATAATTGGAGGGGGGGGGGGAAATCAGTGCATGGTCCCCAAAATAATACTTATGCCTCCCCCAGTTTCCACCCCATTGAAAATCTTAGAAGTGAAAAAATCACGCTCATGTAGTTAAAAATCACCTCAAATCCATTATTTTGCAAGCTAGCAGACCCTCACTCGAGCCCCTCACACTTCACCTTTGCCCCACAAATCAGCCCTCCCCCTCCCCCAATTTAATACTACTAGATACGCCACTAATAGCTATTGATAACAATAATAAAATACACACCACCATGCAACCTCCCAGTACATAAACGACTTACAAATGCAAATACTGTACAGTATCTTCAGTGTCAAGTGCAAAAAATATGAAGGTAAGAATATAATAAAATATAGCACCCTCGAGAACAAAAAGTGCGCTACAACATAATTGCACGTTACATCAAACCTACGCTATTACTATTATTACATAGAGTACTGTTTAAAAATCTCATACCAGGCCATAATATTATTTTTTTTAATAAAAATTGAAAAAATATCAAAGTAGGAACATATCTTTTCTCAATTATACAGTTAGTAAAATCTACAGTAACTTTACTAAACAATCGAACATAGAAATTCAAGAGGGAGGCTCTTTACATTATCAAAGTTAAGGACACAATAATAGGTTTTTTATAAAGTGTAATAAAATATAGCACCCTCTGGGACAAAAATTGTGCTACAAAAATAATTGATTCTACAATTGTTACATCAAATCTACACTGTCACTATTACTGCAGAGTACTGTTTAAAAATCTCATACCATGCCATATACTATTATTCAGTTTAAAAACTGAACATTTTGAGTAATATATTAAAATGCCACAAGTATTAATTCATAGTTTCCTCATATCACTAAGGTAAGCATTATCAAATGAAAGCCACCATAATAGTATTTTTCTATAAAGTTTAATAAAATATAGCACCCTCTAGGACAAAAAGTGTGCTACAAAAATAACTGATTCTGCAAGTTACATCAAATCTACACTGTTACTATTATTACACACAGTACTGTTTAAAAATCTCATACCATGCCATATACTATTATTCAGTTTAAAAATTGAACATTTTGAGTAAAATATTAAAATGCCACAAGTATTAATTCAGTCTCCTCATATCACTAAGGTAAGCATTATCAAAGTGAAAGCCACCATAATAGTTTTTTTCTATAAAGTTTAATAAAATATAGCACCCTCTAGGACAAAAATTGTGCTACAAAAATAATTGAATGTGCAAGTTACATCAAATCTACACTTATTATTATTACATAGAGTACTGTTTAAAAATCTCATAACAAGCCATACTCTATTATTCAGTTTAAAAATTGAAAATTTAATTGAGTAAAATATTAAAATGCCACGAGTATTAACTAATAGCCTCCTCATATCACTGAGGTAAGCATTGCAAAAAATGTCTATCTATTGTATATTCAACTTTCACATTACTTCTTGATCGTTGTTGTACGCTATAAATGAATAAACATTTTATGCAGTACAGTTACATATAAATATGTATAAAATATCAAAATGATAATTAGTCTTTCTATCATACCATAGAACCATAAGAAAATTATATTTATTGTATATTCAACTTTCACACATTCCTTCACTTTTTGCCCAACAGTTGTACACTATAAGTGAATTAGCCATACATGCAGTTATTACCAAAAGTCAATCATGAAGTTGGTAGTCTATGAGTGAGATGACGGGTCAGAGACAGCCAGTGCAATTCTTTCAACCCTACAAAAACCTAAAGGTCCACTGATTAATCTCAGATAAGATAACATAATACATACTCCAAGTATCGAAATGCACGCCATCGTGTCGGGATTTAATATTTCGACATTAATTATGTCATCATCAGTAATGAAAAATTATCCATATTTGCAAGCTTATATGCACAAGTACCAAAAGTGATTGACCAATCAAAACATTACCCCTAGTAACATAGTTACGAATAACCTAAAGATCAAAGCATTCTTACCCTACTGATCAAAGCTACCTACAAAAACAAAGAAAGCTCCTTTGAAGCTTTCAGCCCATTGTTACAAAAACCTCCCTATAGCAACAGAGGCCACCTGCTAAAGACACAAAAGCAGGGTCAAGCGGATCAAAAAGAGATGAGGGACCCATCGGGTGCGAGACCGATGGACCCTCAACTGGACGCGGAGGAGAATCGTCCAATGGTACGACCCCCGACATTGCCGGTAAACGAACTCCTAGACTGGGGGCAGCCCAATCAAGAGCTGCCGCAAACTTAGTTGGGGGAACCTCGCAAGGCTTTGCCTTTCTTAAGAACGACACAAAGGGCACTCTAAGTGTCAATCAAGCCTAACACTCAGTTTGGGCCCCCCACACGCCGAGCACAAGGACTTATGAGTGAACATATTGATCTACTGACTACAAAATAAAAAGCTAAAACAAAGGACATGTCGTTTAAAACTTCTTGAAAATAAACTCCAAGAATAATGCACAACACAGAAACACAATGTCTGTATTCAACTGGTCGTTCTTCGCTAAACCACGCACACCTGTGCAGTTGTAAAATCCTACCTAACGAAGATGACCAGTCGAATAGAAATCTTGTAAATACACAACAAAACAAAATGGCAGCATAGTTACAGCGATACACGCTGCGTAATCAAGATTGCTTCGGCTTGTAGCAGTATGGGTTTTTTTGTGTTTTCTTTCTGTTAGCCTACAATCATTTTTTGACTTCATGTGGGTAAATATTATAATTCTTATTTTCTAAAATTTAATCTAAATTATATTAAATGCAAATGTTGTTTCTAAACTGGCTAATCAGCCATGTTTGATTTGGTCACGTGAATAACTTAACGCTGATTAACACACTCTGGTTACATTAATTTTTTAGTTAGCAACGAAGTCTATGAACCAGTCGAATGAAAATAATACTCAACGAAAAATCGCAGTCAATGGAATGAACCTGTCGAATAAGCACAATCTCTTGTTTCTAAAAGTATGTGGCTTATTGCAGATAATCCTTAGCAACAAAAGGGAGCTCCTTATATGGAGCACCATCGAATAGGCAATGAGGATTATTGTTAGGAAGATGGTTAGTATGTGGCACACTGGGTCGGACTGTTCTATCTTTTTTCTTCTGAAAGGATGTTCTGTTTCGGGAACAACAACAATTAGTCGGTTTATCTAGGATTAGATAATATTCACCAAATAGACAAGTTAATCACTTTCCACTCCTTGGTATTGTGTTGGATCTTTACAGTTCTGCACGCCATGGTGGTTCATTCTGCTGCGTGATGGGGCTCACACCTGTGTCATCGTCTTCCAGAGCTGAGAAATGGAAAAGATGATATGTTGAGTGACAGATGATCTTGAATAAGTAGTGGGGCTAGTAGACCAATTAAGGTTTCCTATGAATTCACTGACTTTGTTGGTTATTCAAAATTATTGCACAACTCATTTCGGCTTCTGTCTACTCACACTTCCAGTTTATTACTGTACAAAGAAATTTGGCACATACTAGTACCCTTAGAAAATTTGATATTAAACATACAGTACCTAAAATCTACACACTGGCATCAGTTGTTGCGGCAGGGATTCCCTGACAAGGAATCTAAGATCCAAACCAGGGGTTCCACCCACTTTAGCCAACCATGGCTAGAGCAGGGACGAAAGAAGTTTATGAATAAGCCAATAAGTGCTCAGAAATGACACTCTCAGGCTTTCAAAGCAGTGTTTGATAGAGCATCAGGAGCCAGTAACCCACAAGACTGGATGCATCAACCTTGTTAGAGACATGTGGTGTAATTTGATAATGCTGCAACACTGAGGACATGACATAATTTAAGACTAGAAACTTACCGGGTTTAGTGATTTTAATGGCATCAAATTTAGTGAGTAAGTTCTTTAACTCATCTTCATTATCAATTTGATACTTTATTCCTTTGCTACCTCCTTTTCTATACTCATCTTCATTATCAATTTGATACTTTATTCCTTTGCTACCTCCTTTTCTATTGCAGAAGTCAATAAGCCTAAAAAAGGAGATAATGACATAAAAGAATAGATTAACAACATTATAATTAAGTGATGAATTTATATCAATCTAACTTAGTATGCAAGCCAGAATGCAATATTTTCCAAAAATAAATCATTATTACATATTATCACACTAAGTTAATTTTAAAGATATACCACCTCAGAAATGCTATAAAAACATGTAATATAAATTTCAATGAATATGTAATATAAATTTCTGTTAGTGTGTAGGCTAATTTATTAGCTTTTAATAAAAAATGTTGATAAAATATTTTTATCATCAATCACAAAGTGTAAGTTATACAGTTTATATATCCAGGCTGGTAATGATTTTTTTTTATTTTTTTTTTATGGAAAACAGTTTGTTAATTAGAGAAAACGTAATTGGTTTATGTTTTATTAGAAGTTATTATTTGATGTTTGATCTTTTAAACTAACTATTCAATGTTTCACTTATGTTTTTGGGGTTTTCCAGATTTTATGATAGACTTTATGACAAATCTTTAATATTGTGTATAGCTGTCTCTTATACACATCTTAATTTAAAATGTTATGTGTATAATAGATAATAATTGCAATATATCTACATATATCACACCTTTTCCAGTTTTCATCTTTGCTTAGCACTACAGGGTTTCCGATAACAATTAACAACGCTTTTGCACGAGTGATTGCAACGTTGAATCTCTGTTTGAAATAAAATGTAAATAATTAAAAAATAAGACGCATTCTAAAAAATGTTACAAAAATCGTCCAAAAATCTTCTCAAATTTGGGAGGTCGTCTTATACAAGGGTCGCCTTATATGCGAATATATATGGTAAGTCACATTTTATAAATAATGCTTTGTGTTAATCATGGAATTTGGGAAAGTGTGACGTTTCTTTTGTGTATTTTAGCTTGGAGCATCGCAGATTTTAAGGAAGTTCCTAGTTTTAACTGTGCAAGCCTCTATCCAAAGTCAAACAATATCTATGTTAAGTGTTTGTTTATGTCGCTTGACCTTGATACAGGCATGTGCAGTTCAAACTACGAATTACCTCATTCTATTACAATCACCACTGTTCCCTTCTGCCCTCAATGTCAACTTTTGAAATGATATTATTACCTTTCTGACATAAAGGGTCAAAGTTCAAAGTACAAATAAAATGACAATAGATATTGCAAGTATTTCTTTAAAATGGCTGAGGCCACATGCTATGGTAGGGCACAGACTGTTATGGGTTAAGTTTGACAAACAAATATCTGATAGAACCTAACGACTTGCCTTTGGGTTGTCAAGGAAACCAAGATGGAAATGCTTGTCCATTTTCAGATAATCTTCATTATTACTACGTACGGTTGATACGATAATGACTAGTCTCTCCTGCCCCTGGAATTCTTCAACTGAGCCCACTTTGATTTTTTCATAGTTACGCTTCTTAAGGGCTTTCTGAATCTTTTGAACCTGATTGTTACAAAAAACATTTAAAAAAAATATACTGTATAAAATTAAAGACCAGATGTTTTACACGAATCTATAAAACACAATATAACTATAAGTTTAGTCTAGTATATAAAGACTAGGCTAAAATATGTGCACTGATCTTGTGAAAAGTTGCTATAAAATGGCATCTATCATGGTTGTGGTTTAGCAGTTAACACAGAGGTTAGGGTTGAAAGTCTCCTACTGTTCAACTTGCTTGCTTATGCCACTGGGCAAGGCATGCAAGGCCCCTCGTCGGGCAGAGTTTGCCCCACCCCCGTCGGGAGAAAAAAAAATTATATGTAAAATTATAAGCCTCTGAAACCCCTAAATTGTCAAGATTTTTGGGGGCTTTGCCCCCTGGACCAATTACCAAACATTTTAAGCGAAGCTCAACCACGCCCACTTTGCTTTCGTTGGGGAAATCTGCCCCCTCGTCAGGGACCTTGGACCCCCATTGAGCGAATCCTGGTGCCACCCCTTTATAATTAAAGTACTCTTACACAGGTGCTCTCGCAATGCAATAAGAAAAATGATAAACAGGATTGTATATCTAATTTTAGTTCAATTTTCAATTAAAATTTAACTTTAATTTGTTACCCTTGCCATCTTTTGTAAAATTCATACCCTCTCCTTGTTTGTCATATTTTGTCAAAATTAGGGATGTCCATCTCAACCAGCCAGGGCCACCATGAGCAGCCCTGGAACACTGGAAAGTGAAGCTACCAAGGCACAATTTCTGTTGCAATTAGTTCACTATGATTTTGTCATAGACTGACTGGACTACTCTGGGGTACCTGTAGGATGACAATGCTTAAATTTGCTATACCGAACAATTTAAAATACCATCAAGGGGGAGGAGCAAAGGAGATTACATATAGAAAACCAAACGGCCAAACCATGCTTAGTTTAAGGAATAGGATTAGTTTTTTTAAGTATTACTTTCTTTCATGTTTATGTTAAGTGCATAGAGGTCTCCATGATATGCGCTCTATAAGTCGACCATCATCACCATTATTATTATTATTATTATAGAACATGCTTTAAATTTGTATCCAATAGGTGCTATATGAAATCTAAACAATACTGGTCAAGATCCTAGGAGCACACTGCTCTAGCTTGAAACACAAGAGCCTAGCCTGTTGGTTATGATATACCTCTTACTTCCACCACCTAAAATACCCCACCTTGTGGATACCTCCTTCGTCTGCTGATTCGCTCCAAATTGACAGCTTACTTTCTATCTCATTTGGATTCCCAATACATATTTTTCTGGAATCAAAAGCAGTACTGAATGGTAGATGTAGGTTCCTGGGTTTAAATCCCAAATAGATATACTGTGATGGTTGTTACCTGTTTACGATAAGGTGAGATCACACCAATATCTGACTGTTGCAACTTCTTTCCCGAATACTTTCCCTCCATCAGCTGTTTAACATATGTAATGACAGCATCACATTCTTTGGTGTTGAAAAACGATGGACTGGTCCCTTCTCTTTCATCTTTACCTTCAACACCATGAAAGATTAATGGAAAATTCTGCAAAAGATACAATAATTTTAACAAAGTTTACATTTCATTACTGTAAACATTATATTGCTATTTTCTTTTTAGTGATGCATATATTTTACTATACATTTTTATATTTTGTTACGAAAAAATTTTTAAAAGTGATTTTTTTTTTTACCAATTAATTATAGCATTTATAAAGTACTCTTACACAGGTGGTCTCACAGTGCTTTGAGCAAAATAATTTTTTAACAAAAATTGAACTTTAATTTGTAACCCTTGTCATCTTTTGTAAACTTCATACCCTCTAATCGTTTGTCATATTTTGTCAGAATTAGGGATGTGCATCTCAATTAGCCAGGGCTGCCATGAGCAGCCTTGGAACCAAGGAAAGAACAGCTGCAGAGGCACCATTGTTGGCTACGTAAGCAGTGTCAGCAGTCTAGAAATTTGAAATAGAGGGAACTCAGGGAGGAATTGTCACAGGTTGTGGGTCTGTACACCTCAGCCCCACCAGAGGTGAGAAAATTTATGATTATGGCACCTCTAGATTTGAAAATTTGAATATAATTTTCCTATTTTCTCCATTTTATTTTGAAAAATTGTGGGGGGGGGGGGGTGGGT